TATACACACACAATTATTTCTAAACATTTGTTTGAGTGCCTGATCAAACTCAAATACTGCATGTGATTTCAATTATTGGGCTGCTGAGTGGATCAGTGAGTAGCACTGTTGCCTTGCAGCAAGAAGATTCCGGGTTCTATTCCCAGCCCGGGGTCTTTCTGCGTGGAATTTGCATGTTCTCCCTGAGCATGTGTGGGTTCTCTCCGGGTACTCTGAATTAGCTTATCTAAACCCTCCTTAGGTGTGAGTGTATGTGTGAATGGTTGCTTGCCTGTTTGTCTCTGTGTTGCCATGCAATGGGCTGGCAACCTGTCCAGGGTGTACCCACCTCTCTCCAGTAGACAGCTGGAGATAAGTACCAGCACCCCTTGCAACCCCACTTGGGATAAGCGTGAAAGAAAATGGATGGATTTTCATCTAACATTGACATAAAATCAACAACTAGTTAAAGCTAGTAGCTACTGCTGCTAAACGATTATAACTACTCCTAGCTCTAAGTTTCATTGTTGGCTAAGTCTTTTCAGATCGTTCTTTGCATTCTGTGATCTAAACATCATTTATCCTTTAACTGCAAGGTCCCAACCCAGATTGGGGGGGTTAAAGTTGATCCACCAATATAATGCTCCTGATCCGGGAAGCTTTCACCAACTATATTCGGAAATGTTGGAACAAGTGTAATGTGAGATTCATTTACCATTAGGAGTCTAGGAAAAAAAGAACATTGGTTCTAATGTAGATAACATATTGAGGGTAATGTGCGACATGTGTGCTTGTATTTAAAGCTATTAATCAAGTTGCACAGAGCAGATGATGAGCTGGACACAGAGCTCCATCCTGTGGAGAAGTCCACATGCCGTCCCCTCACCTTATGCAGCTATTTCAGAGTTGTCGACTGCACAGTTAAATGTTCACAACTTATTTTAGTTGTTTTACATAATTTCTTCCCCTAACATCTCAACGTCAAAGCTAAACTCCAGACTCATTGGATAAGCAAGTGTTTTTTTTAATTATCTCTTTTTGTCTTATAATGTTGAACCATTGGAAAATGGAGGGTCCGTTTCCATGGTAAGTAAGGAGTGACTAAAACACTCAGATGGACCCATCTGGCTTCTTACTTTCCTTCCCTGATCAATTTCAGTTTCAGCATGGCATCATTTCTAGATACAAAGATGCAATAATAGGTTTCTAATTAGATAACAAACAGGTGTAAATAATAAGGTGTTTGTACACATGGCACTAATTTAAATAAGTAGCCTCAGATTGGGAATCTGTCTCCTCAAATGCCACATCGAGAAATATATAGTAATTTTTCAAGCCTTTTTAAATCCGTTTTCACCAAAACATTCAATTCAAACATCAACACCCATCTCCTAGCACATTTTTTTTCTTTCATACACATTTGAAATCCCAGGCTAGATTTCTGTTCAGAGTCTTAAATTAGATTTTTACCATTTTACCCAATTAGTGTACTATTTTCAATATAAATTTCAGATCCTGCAAATAATTTAAGAACAGCGCTGTAGCTTTCTTCGTGTATTTCTCCCAGGCATCAAGTTCTAATTCACTCCATCAATTCTTGTGGGAAACTATATTCTATGCAGCTCTGCCTATATATCATTAAGCATACAGAGGAATTGTTAGGAAGATGACTTTTCCCCTTTGTGGCTTAATTTTATAAAGAGTATTTATTACAGAGCTCGGTAATGATAGCTTGACTAGGTATTAGGCCAATTAGTGGTCAGGGAAGCCTTCCAAAAAAGAAAAGTGTAGGCAGTCAAAATTGTGGTTAGAGGAGGCTCATGAAAGCATTTAATTTCTGATGACAATTCCATTAGCAGAGAAGAAAGTCAGAGCTTTTTAATCACTTTGGATTTTTTCCCACATTTTATTGGTTTTATTACTTTACTCCTTAGTTTTTCTTTCCACTGGCCTTTATTCTTTAAGCTTGTAAACAAGCTGCAACAGAAAACACACAATAGTGCTGAATTAAAATGTCATAAAGCACCAACCTGACCAAGGCAGTAAATACATCGATTTTCTATGTTTAAATGTGCAACTCCTGTATGCAGCTTATCCAACAAGGATGGCCCTGTCATTGTGATCATTGGTCTTCCTACTTCAGCGGATGAACATGAGTCTACCCTGCCATAAACACAATCATACACACATGCAAACATAATCCTTTCCAGCCGTACACAGGTCCTGAAGTTAATCAGTGCACTGGTA